TCATACTTCCTTTTAATGGTTAGTTTCTGGCATGAGTCAGTGCCTACCCTGTTGCCATTTTGTCTAACGTGAAGGGTTCATTACTTCTGATTTTCTGAGTAATTACACTTGATCAGTTATATTTTAAAACACTGAAGCAACAGTCCATATGTGAGATGGTATGGTTCTTGTTGAAAGCATTTCTAGGTATCTTAGTGTCCAGTTTCAGTCTTCTTTGATCAAGCCAGACTGGAGTCTGACTTAACGCGAAGACTTTGATTACTCATACTGTGTTGGGCTGTTCTTTACAACACACATCTGGAGGTATGGAACAAATGCTGAAAACAATTGCTCAAAATACAGTACTTTCAATACTTCATAATGAACAAAAAAAAAATAATCTTGCAGAGCAAGGTCAAAATTAACCGCGAACAAAGAGAAGGCCGGAACACCAACTCATTGGAAGCTTGATGATTCCTGGGAGTATTTTAGCTCCCCTGGGCAGAGACCTCTGACGTTTCCCCATAGATGATAAAACCCCTCGTCCAGTTTGGGGTCAGCAGCCCAGAGTGCTTTGGTTTCCACTGATATCACTGCTGTATTACCGTCCCACATCTTTTCAACTTCCCCTTTCACATGTTGGTATTTTCCCCATTCTTTTTCTTGCTCTTACCTTGCTATGCTGCTTTCATACGGAATGATTAGATACTTCAACTGCCTTCTTCTGCAGTTTGCTGACCACAACAATGTCTATCTGGTTATCCATCACCATTCTATTAGCCTGAATTATATCCCACTGGATCTTATACGTGACATGAAATGGAAGTAAGAATTAATTAAGAATATATCTGTAAGCAATTTACTGATTAACAGACTCAAAGAAACCGATGCATGACGATCACCATATATACAGCGGACAAGATCAGAAATGAAGCTGCTCACTTGTTATTCTAATGAGACATTTCTCTGCAAGTTTGTCATGGAAAGTTTTACGAAGAACAGATATAAGTGTTATTAACTTGATCTAATTACATCAAACCAGTGTGTATACTGTTATTGGATTTAAATCCATCAGGACATGCTGGCCTTGTTAAGAACCAAAAACATTATACTATATATAAATAATGTTTTAGTTTAAACTAATTTGGCATGGTTCTAGTTCTCGTTTTCTTTTTGTAAATACCATAGAAAATTTACAATTTTCACATGAAGCCGCTTATGACAAACATAAAGACTAAAACTTGTGACTCCTGTTTTTCATGGTCCTGTGACAACTGAGGGAATGTGATCTGCTCTAGTCTGACCCCTCAATTCCCCACAACCTCCCAATTATAAATTCTAAATTTGCACTCTGAGGCGTGGTCCTGTCAGACCGTGAGCAACAAATTAGAGGATACATGCCTGTCAATTCACTGAGGTAAAAATGGCCAGATTATTGCTACAGCGAGTCTTTCTTTTAGAAAATGTCAGGAGTAACTCTTCTTACCTTATACATGAAAGATTTCTCTGTTTTAGTTTTGAAAAGAAACAAGATAAAAGGGTTTACTGTAGAATTGAATTTAGTAATGCACAATGAGCTTCAAACTTTAAGATCTGTGGTTTGAAACATCTGAGCAGAATTAGCTCTAATGCGCATCATGCCCCAGACACTAACAAGGTAATTAAGCTGTTAAATGTTGCACTCGAGATACCTGGGTATGGATTCTAACAACACGAGCCTGTTTTCTCCACATGCGGGATGACAAAGATAAACCTTTGCAGCCAAGTCTAAGAATATCTATTGCACAGAGAGATATGACGTACAAATTATGAGGAAATAGTATGGATTCATTTGCTTCCATTACAAATGCACAGGGAATCACTTGTCAGCTTTTAATATTGTCAGTTTAATTAATGAACAAATTCTAATCAGCATAGTACTCTTAAAAAAAACCCACATCTAGTTACGGTGAGCAATAGAGAGAGAGAAATAGACGAAACGATAAACGAAACATCTGGCTCTCCTTACTTTATCATTGTGTTTGTTTCCAATATGAAGCTTGAAAATAATCAAGTTCCGTTTTGACCCATGAACTCATTGGGGCATATGTTCAAAATCGCATCATTAGTGTATGGATTCAAGGACCCGATCACTCACCACTGCTGTCTCATGATGTGGGAAAATATCGTTCCCACTGATGCACCAACCTGAAAGAAACAGGGAGGGAAGTTGTGCTCTCAAGTTTTTTTTTTCTATGCGGAGGTGCGATAACACAAATAAGTGCCAAAAATAATCAAAATTGTGTGTTTTGAGGTTGGACATCAAACACAGGAGCTTTTGAAACGGAGATTTGTAAAATGCTGTAGGCTTTCTGAAACTATCTGTTTTAATGGGTATTTTTTGTCAAAGATGTAAAGCAAAGGCACAGAGACATGGAAAATAATTGGCATTGAGCAAATTAACGTTGTCCCCCTGCAATTGGAATACAACAATGGAAAACGGCCTGCAAAGTTTCCTCAGGACTTTGGTTCTGGTCAGCTTCCACCGCAGCCGTCTGCAGGAGACGCAGCTACAGGGGGCAGCTGGAGAGCCGTGCAGGGGGAACTTCTGGCTCCTGCGTTTTTTGACCGTTCTGTCTTATTGGTCGTCTCGGGGACGAGAACCAACCATGGTGAGGGGAGGCATACCAAGGTTCTGAGCTCAGCCCGAGTGCAGAAGTCTTACAATATGTCAGCAGTGTTATTTATACAGGGCCATATTAGCAAACCGAATTGCTCTGCATCTGTTCCACAAGGGCATTCCTCAACTGCTGACCCTGAACAAACCCACAAGCTCCTGTGCTCCCACTGCTGCATTAGCTTGTTACGAGCCTCTGATTTTCAAAGTAGTATTTACCCTTGCTGTGGCTCACCAGGCTTTTCACTTGTAATGATAAATACTCACATGAATTAAACAGCATGAAGCCCTGTAAGGCAGAGCGCGGATATTTAACCCGTAAATCCTGAGCGGATGTCTATGTTTGCTTAGTTAAACATGTGTTAGTGGGTAAGTGGATCATGTCAGGCCTAGGGTTGAAACCCTCACAAGAATCAGGGTCATTAGCCATCAGACTGATAAATAAGCCTATGACATAATGTGGAAACACTGATCCCATTCATAGATCTCATCGCCCACAAAACATTGTGCATGCCAGGCAAATCTCACACGTATAAAACAAATTTCTTGTGGTTGGCGGGGGATAGTGAGCTTTCATGGGGGAAAAATGGTTGTTTAGTGGAATATCACAACATCTCACTGGCCTCTTCTCACAGACTCAAAGAGTTATACGTCTGGCTGAGATTAAGGGACTGGTGCCGTCGTGGCTTTGTCTTTGTCCCTCCTCGTCCTAAAATATCGTGTCAGGAAGTGGACAGTGGAAGTGTTTTCTCCCAGGGCAAAGCCAGAGTGGTGACTCCTTCATCTCCTCAGTTCCTGCTGCATTCTCCATATGGAAACACACAGAAAACCCTTTTCTTCTACTTATGCTGGTTCTGCAGTACCTGTGGGATTCATATGAAAATGTTTTGAGTTCAAATGAGACAGTTGTTCTGTGTTTCCTGTTTGAGAGTGTCTGAGTGTTGAAATTACATTAAAGGGCTTTTTTTTAAAGGTCTTTTAGGTTTCTGGTCAAGACATAAATCAAAACTCTGGAATTCTAGCTGAACTGTTTCTCATGTTGGAAAAACATTAAGTTGTTACCAATTAGTGTTAAATGTGCATTCTGGCAAATGCTAGTCCTCATTACAATGACCAAAATAATTTAGTGTCTGAACAGTGCAGCCAAGACATACTAAGTAATCAGTGCTGTGGTGATGCTCAATTGTTTTAGGTTTTTCGTGTGCCAGGCCTGTGGTGTGTGCGGCTGGAGAATGGTAGATACAAGCTGCTGCAATCTTCTGATCGGATAAATACGACTAATCCCATCGGCATCTGCTAGTAAATCATAATGTGCAGTTCCTTAAAGCTAAATTAAGGACGCAGAAAATAAATGATGCATCAGGAAATTTAGTTAGTCAGACATCAAATTGTATTTCCATTCATTTACTCATGTCTAAATTTACTACGTATCATAAACGATGGGGCACGCTCATTCTAATTTGATAATGAAATATCTAATTCCATGTGAATGGAGATAAAACTTCTGGTATACAAACTAAAGCTGCCAAAAGAGATTGCAGAATAAAACAGTAGTTTACCTCTTTTTTGACATGAACTAAACAGCAGTGGGATATTTCTCTGTATTTTACGCAAGTGTGTTGAGCGACTTCAGTCATTCAACTTTCCACATATGAAACACTTGAGAAAATCAGGAAATTAACTTTTGTCTATGTAAACAAAAAACGCATAAAACACTTGATCGATAAATCAGTTACTATGTTTGCTGGCAATTTGTAACAAATGTATTATCTGCTCTGAATTTCCCTGGATTTAAATCTTCTTTGCTCTAACACACATATCAAATGGTTAAGAGAAAATAAATACCAGTTTCATTCCTAATGAAAAGAAAACCTCAACAGCAATTGCAATTTGGAACTTTTCAAGTAACATATTGCTTCTGTGGTTTGGTATTGGAGCTTTGACCTCAGTCGAGTATGTTGGTACTTCTTCTGTCACTGACTGTGGAACATTATGTGGAAAAACTCAACCACCTCTGCAGGAAACAAAAATGACTCCCGAATTTATAGGTTCATCTTAAAATGAAGTCATTGAGAGCTACTCAATCATACATAATACGATCTGCAACATTTCCCCGTGGACTGTAAACTAAAAACACAAAATCAACACAAAAAAAGGTTTTTATTTAAAGAAGGAAAAGGCATTTTCAATTAAACACTGCCCTCTAGTGGACACATCTACAGTTTGCAGGACTAAACAGGAGAGATTTCACTGATGGAAAATACTATTTATTAAAGTTTTCATTTATTTTTTAAATATCCAGTTATAAATAAGGAGCTTTTTCTGAGCAATGTGACCCCTGAACTCAATAGTTGTGAAGTTTCCCATGACCTTGCGAAACTGCGGAAGTGAAATGAAAGGCAGGAACCCACGTGCTCATTTCTCAGGGAAGCTTCAGGCCGAAGCAGCAGGCTGTGTTCACTAGGAAGGACTCACATGCTTCGAGTTTAACTCGGTTTTGGCGTTGCTAAGCTTATCAAGCGTTTTAATCATGTCTTCGTTCAGGAAAGCGCTGAAGTCCCAACAGCGAAACCACCATGAAAGGTCTCAGGTGAGCATTTCACTGCCTTCTGTGTTAGCTTGTGAGCTAATTTCCTCACCAGCAGACCATACGTATGGAAGCAAACTCTAACCAGACCGATAAATGTGTGTTGTTTTCATGACACGGGCACGTATGAATACACTTCTTGTCCCACCAGCCTGGCTTCAGGAAAACTCTGGGATTGCTGGAAAAGAAGAAAGACTACAAACTCCGTGCAGAGTGAGTTGGACCCTGAACGTTTCAGCCAGCTAAAAGCGTTAAATGCAGTTTGTTGATGTGCGTTTTAATGTGTCGTGTATTTTGCTATAGTGACTATCACAAGAAGCAAAACACCCTCGCTGCTCTGCGAAAGAAAGCCCTGGAGAAGAACCCAGATGAGTTTTACTTCAAAATGATCAACTCCAAACTGGAGGCAAGTCTCAGCATCCTTATCGCCAGGTTGGTTTGGAAGCGGGCCTTAATGGCAAATGCAATTAGTTTACTCTGTGAAATGTTGACAGGATGGAGTTCACGTGATGAAGAAACCTAAAGAGGAGGTGGAGGTAACAGAGGAGCAAAAGAAAGTGATGAGGACGCAGGATATCAGATATGTGGAGATGAAAAGGGTTGCAGAAGCTAAGGTATGTTAAATGTTTGTTTTTTGGGCTTTTTTATTTAGTAACTCTGTTATATTGCTGGGAAATCTCTTTCAGGATCACTGAATAAAGTTTTTTTCCTTTTGTTAAAAGACATTCTTAACTCACCGTACATTTAAAATGCCTGTTAAGACTTATAACTAGACTGTTAAGACTTAAAAACAGCCCCCCCAAATTTTCAAGATTTGCTATTTTGTCACTTGCATAGCAGCACATGGTTATATGAATCTGACCAGACAGCTGGTTTAAGGGCACATTTTGATGTTGGGATGGGTTCACAATGGATGGCAACATGAAGTCATCTAGTCTACATCTATGTCTCCCACTCGTACATACTGTCTGCATTCATGAATCTAGTCCAGAGGTTTTAGTGTTATGTCTTCAACACAAGCGTGCAGCACATCTGCCTCACAGTTGGCACTTCCTCTGAATCTAATATACTTTCAGAAAATTGAGAGGTTGAAAGGAGAGCTCCATCTTCTTGATGCAGAAAGCAAACCGAAAAACAAACACACCTTTTTCGTGGATTCAAAGAAAGAAGGTAAGTGCAACTGTTTGTTGTTTTAATGTATATACCAACAGAACATGGAGACTCACCAGCGAGTGGGGAACATTTGGATCTTTGTATTTTCAGTACAGAAATTTGACCTGGCAAGCCACCTCGACACAGCTCCAGAGCTAGTGGACAGAGTTTACAACAGGCCAACCCTGAAAACTCTGGAGACTAAAAGCATCCAGGGAGCTGTGGAACCTCGTAGGATAAAGGTCTGTGATATTGTACTTATATTGTACATCTGGAATCATAACTGACAACTCAATTCTTAAAAAAATAAATAAAAAAACAACTAAATTTTAAAATTAAATCCTAGATCTTGATTTAATACATTTTATTTTCGTTGTTATATATTTAGAGTCTGGCCCGGCAGAGGAAGCACCAGTATACAATCCTTTCCCAGAGGATTGACAGAGAGAAGAAAATGTTTGTTATCAGCCAGAAAATTCAGACCCGTAAAGACCTACAGGTGAGAATTATTAGTTATAAGAGACATACAGAGTGTGACTCTCTGCAGTGTTCTGATTTGGTAATCTCCTCCCTCCACATTCCAGGATAAAACCAAGAAAGTGAAGGTGAAAAAGGAGACGCCAAATGCTGCAGCTATATACAAGTTTGAGGCCAAGAGAAAACGCTGAGGAAGGACCAATTGGCAGGCAGAGACTCTGTCACTGTGATGCAATGGCTCCAAAATAATGGAACTCTACCGAGAATAACTGCCTGGATTCTGAGCTGACATATGGAATCCTATTCATCCCCTCTTTGATACTGCAGCCTGCTATTATGTACATAATTATGAAGACCTCTAGTTTATTTCAAATAAAAACAAGACATGATAAAGTTATTAATTCAGTGGAATTTTTGTTCAGATTTTTTATTTTATTTTTTAAGAATGAGGACGAGTAAGCAGATGTGAGTTGAGATTTGGTCCACAACCTCAGTGGCGGTGAGAAAAATGTATATTGTCCACTAGGGGGCGTTGGTAGTCTTTCATACAGAAAAAAGTGACAAAGCAATTGGCATGGGGTGATATGGGTTCAAGCAGTTAAAAATCATGATCTGCCTTTTCACACCTAGATTTAAATAGTATTTACTAAATATCATTATCACAATTTATTTCATATATATATACATACATACATACATTATTTTACCCACTCTTAGTGTAACAGCTGTCGTGTTAAACGCAGTGGGGTATTTGACCTTAAATTCAATGTTTAAACTTTCTAGAACAGACATTGATGCTCCATTTCAAAGCTCTTTCAGCTGAGCCAGAACATTTCTATTCTTCTGATGTGTTTTTTTATTTATATTTTGTTTTTTGATGGCACATCGTCAACCAGGAAACCAGCTACTTCATTTTGTTGTTTTTTTTAAATTTATCTTTCCATTTCAGTACCCCCCCCCCCACACACACACACACACACACACATATATATATATATACACACACAGTATATATATAGTGTGTGTGTGTTTACTTTTGAATATAGTACTGCCAAACTCCCAAGTCAGATTCAGTGTAGTTGTCGGAGCCTCTGAAGGACACATTAGGCATTAGTTGACCTTTTACTGGCATTTTTAGATCACGGCTAAAGCTGACAGAATTGAACATGGTTAGATGACTACCAACAAGCTTTACTTATAACAATTACTTTCTCATTAGTTCACTTAAATCGAAATTGCTCAAGTCTGTACCTCCATCAGCTATTCTCTGGTCATGGAAGGGCATTTGACAAGTACAACTGCAGTGAAAGTGCATTTGCTTCAGCCTTAAGTGTGAGTAGGTTGGACGTGCTGGAGCCTACTGGCAGATCACACCGACGCAGGCCTGATTGATCATTGTGGTGGCAGCAGCTTCATAAACAGTGCTCATCCATCAGCTTCTCCTGGGAGACACCGAAGGAGAAGCAACCAGATGAATGTGTCAACAGGCGCAGTGAGAGGGACCAGAGGCCTTGGCTCAAGCACTGCTGACAGAACAAAGGTGAGCCGGAACAGGAAAAAGGCAAATTCAGGTTGGGGTAACTGTCATGGGAAATTCAATAAAGCTTCCGGCTTTATACGCGTTACATCATAACAAATATTCACTTCATATGAGAATTTCATTTTGTTTGTTTTTTATGCCAAGGCGGTTACGGTATAAGTCGTCACAAAGTATAAGATAAATTTACATTGTGCAAAAAATGGATTTCACCACAAGCCCAAAAGCGCACGCCTCTGTGGCATTTGGCTGTTTGAGCATTCGTGTCACAGCTGTGCTGTATCCTGTGTACATGAGTGAATTACATCTTCAGCCAGCTCGCCCTCCCTCCCTTTTCCTTTCCTCTTACCCCCCCCCCTGCCCTTTGTTACTGCGTCATGATGCTGAGAAAGCGTGCATGAAACAGGACCCCGAGGCCCACTGTCCATAAGCGGACGGGATGGAGGTCGTGGAGGAGAGCCCAGGGGTCGAAACACTGTGTGCGCAGTTCCGGGACCCCTATCTGGCTATGCGACCCGAGCACAGACCGGCCACTGTTCCTCCTCAAGCTTTCCTTTCATTTCCCTCAGCAGCAGAACTCTTGCGCTGGGGGCCAGTGGCAGAGCTCAGGGGTGGGCAGCGGGTGACCTTCTGATTTTAAAGATATAGACAGGCATTCCTCTATTGTCAAAAGCCTCATAATTCATTGGAGTATTCTCACAGGCCATCTTACCCCCTTCCCACCCCCCCATATATACCATCTCTAAAGTTAATGACCCTTGAGGTTTGTTAACGAATAGTCACTTTTGGAATGGGGGGTTAGGAGCGGAGCTGGGTGGCAGTCACACAGCTGCAGGGTATGACATTGACCCTGATATATAGAAACAGCTCAAGAGTGAAAGTGTAGCCTGGTTAAGAAGGAGTACAGCACAAAAGGCCTTTGTTCTCTAAGTTTAGTTTTCTGACTTATTGCGGAAAAAACAGTCCGTTAAAAAGAGACATGTTTGATATTTTTTCCCCTTCATTTCTTCCTGCCTTGTCATTACATTTGAATTACATTTGCAATCTTTAACGTACAAAACAATATTTAAACATTTTTTAATGGAACATATTTCTGACTTTGGCAAATTCCATTGACTTATGTCCATATTTAGATTTGGATTGATTAAGTCATGCCTAAGATTTAAAACTTAGAATGTTCTTTTGCTTTCTTCCTATATTTAAAAAAGAATATCCTCATCCCATAGACTCACCTCATTAGTAACTTGCTGGTTCTTCTCATTAGACATTACAGGATACAAATTAACTACATCCCTGTGTGATTTATTTACGTTTTTCTTTAACCTCTGCACCTCTGCTCATCTAATTCACCTACTTGCCGTGCACATAGACTCGAGGTTAAGTTTGGTTGAAGGACGGTGATAATCGATCCGCCAATTACAGAGAGATGGAGAGTGAAAGATGGGGGGAAGAGAAAAGTAGCCTGAGGTTTGAGTGTTGGATGGGGTTGCTCCCAATCCAAGGGTTGTGGTGGTGGTGGGAGGTGGGGGGTTGCTCTTTATCTGGGTATACCTCTCTCCTTTAACTTATAGCTGGGTGTCATGGGGCTTTTGAAGTAGTGGAAAGAGAGGGGAGACAGAGAGGGTGAGGAGGGGTGGGCTTCTGTGCAGACAATGTCTTTCACCATTCCAGGGGTAAGATCCCTCAAAGGACTGCTTTGGAGACTTGACATCGCCCATGCATGTGCCATTCTTTTCTTTATTTATATGAAAGTATTTGGATATCTAAGTATGTTTGTGCGAGAACGCACGTGTGCCCATGTAGAGAATCTGGCTCTTGCAATAAGGTGGGGATCACAGAGCGTCCTTTTTAGATTGCTGCTAATGAGCCCTGGCTGGCGAGAGGTACTCGAACTGATTAAATTTGCATGGGAGCCTAAATCATGACAGGGGCCTCATACTTGTGCACCCCACCCCTAGTTGCACACACACACACACACACACATGCATACATGGCACCCCTGCTATGTTCCCACCTCCTCAGGAGACCTACAGGGGGTATTTCTTGTAAGAGACAGGGCCAGGATTCATCAGGGGGAGGGTGTGTATACATGTTTGTGTGTATGTGTGGTGTTGAACAGGGCGTGGAGCGCACCCATCTGCCCCGGTATTACTGTCAGTCCGTCATTCAGGGGAATGCCAAGCGTGTGCCTTGGGGACGTGTTCATTATGCTTTAACTACCGGATCAGTCGTTGTCTCGCAGCCTCCTTGTGTCGTTGTCGATTTGAGATTGCATGCGTGTATATTCGGGCTCTGCGATGGACTGGCTGACCGTCCAGGGTGTGTCCTCTCTCTCACCCATTGACTACTGGGATAGACTCCAGTCACCGCAGACCCCATTTGGGAATAAGCGTTTCAGAAAATGGATGTATATTCATGCATGTGTTTGTTTGAATCATCACTGAGTGTTCGAAGTTTTATGTACTGTGTTTTATGGGTATTATGGATATTTTGTGTGCTTTGAAACTGAGTACTATTCCTTCAATATAAAAGCTGAACGGCTCGGTACTGCTAACCAATTATCACATTACCATAGCCATTTTCTCTTCATGATCACATTCTCAGAATTTTGATGCACCTCTTCCATTCACACAAACACACACTCCTATTCACTTTCTTGTTTCCTAAAGTTGTCGGTGTGTTTGTCTCACATTAATTCTCTAATGTTATCCGTGTGACAGTGCATGATGAGAGCTACTTTGCGCATCCACATCTGCTTTATATCTTCTCCCACTGACACAGAGGTGTTACGATGGGTGTGTGCGTGCTCTGGAGGGGGACAGTGCTCGTGCGTGGTTATCCTGGGTGATTGCAGTAATCAGATGGGGGTGTTAATCAGAGTTTGTTCGTCAGTGGTCTGATGAGGGGCGATGAGGACTGCTGATTGTAATGTGATGCTTCGATCTGTGTTTCTGACGACTACACATACAAACCACCAAGAGAATCATTATCATTCACTCCTTTTTTCTTTTTTTTTTTCCTCCTCCCCGTGACAGACCACTGGTGTGTAAACAAACAAGCAACACACCACACGTCTAAATGCAGGGTAGTATGTCAACGGTAAGACGCAGACTTAGTTACTGCGCTGCACATTTTAATTCTGTTGGGTGAAATGACACATTGTGACACTACAAGCTATGCTCTCTGTTTGGATATCAGTGTCACCTCTATTGAATAACAATGTGGGTTAGAGGGGGGAAAGATGTAGCTAAAAGAGAGGTTTTGGGGGTGGGGAATAAGGAAAATGTGACCCTGTGGTTTGTAGTTTTGTCTTGCCACAGACGGGCTTGATTCAGATTCCCCCCCAGTTTTTTTTCCTTTTTTTTTTTTACGGGAAAGGGTTGCTGACGCTATTATGGCTGCCTCATCAGCCAAGTCCCTACAAGGGCTGATACAAATTAATTAACCTAATTAGGGACTGTGATTGCGGGTGTGATTATAGGGGCTGGAAGGGGAGGGAGGAAGGGATTGGGAAGATGAGGCAGGAGGGATGGTTCATGGAAGTGGGGGTGCGCTGGCAGAAGTGTGCCATGGCCGAGGCGATGATGAGCCGGGAGGTGTGGGAGAAGAGCCAAGATGCTCTGCATGGCTAATGAGAAAAGCATGCTGGATCCGGTGCTCTCTTCCATTTTTCTGTTTTCATAGCTCACCTTTTATCCACTAACATTTTTGTTCAAGTTTGTGAATTTCACCTCTCTTTAGCATTTATTCAAGGATAATTTCAGGGTACGCTATCCTTCACTTCCCCTGTGTTTCTCTGTGTTCATATGACCTTCATGACCAAAAAAAACAAAAAAACAACAAGTTATTTTTGAGTATTTGTTTGACC